GGAATTTCCGAGTTACAGCAATTCCAAAAGTGTTTGATAGACGATTTTAAAATTGTTGTTTACAGCTATGGAGATAAGGGTCGTAGCGTGCTTTATGAAGAATATCGAACAGCAGTAACAATCTCAATCTCCTCCACCATAATGGTCACTATAATGTTATTACCTCAGCTCTTTGTTGTGGTTACTATTGTGGAAAGTGTCACATCCTTTTTAATAACTACTCCTTCCTGTTCTAAAGACGATATAAAAGTCTAATTTGAAGGCTGTAAGAGAGCATTCAGAGGACCAAAATGCTTTGAGAATCATCTGAAATTGAAGAGTACTGTCTGTGAGAAAATTCGACGTTGCGAAAAGTGTTTCAGAACCATCAAAAGCGATCGACAACACTTCTGTGATGAGGTTTATTGTAAAATATGTCAAAACCATGCACCTGAAGGACATCTGTGTTATATACAGCCGGATACTAAGACTCCGAAACTCAAGGACACGCTGTTCATATTTTACGATCTAGAAACACAACAGGAGAAAGAATTGGACGATGGATCTTTAGTGCACGTACCCAATCTATGTGTTTTCAAACAATGCTGTGACATTTGTCTGAGTTCAGAGAACGAAGTATGTGGAAAATGTGGAGTTCGTCTACATATCTTGAAATCTGAACCACTGGAAAGATTCTCAATCAAAGGAAAATTTGTAAACAGGTTGTAGTGCTCGCACATAACGGAGGAGGATTCGACCATCAGTTTATTCTCAATTATATTTTGGTAGAAACCGATCTGAGGCCAGAATTGATAATGCGTGGAACTAAGTTATCATGATGGGCGTTTGAAATTTAAAATTTCTGGATTCATTAAGTTATTTTCCTATGGCTGTTTCGAAACGCCTGAAGCTTTCGGCCTTGTTGCTCAGTTCAAGAAAGGTTACTTTCCCCACCTTTTCAACACCACAAAAAATCAATGCTATGTCGGACCTTTACCATCTGTCAATTTCTACGACCCAGACAATATGAAAGAGGATGATCGAAATGCTTCTCTTTCATGGTATGAAACTCATAAAGATGATGAATTCGATATGCAACGTGACTTAGTAGCTTATTGCATATCAGATGTTGAAATTTCAGCTCAAGCCTGAAATTCAGACGTATGCCCATTCACAGAAGCGTGTACTATAGCTTCTGCGTGTAATACAGTTTATCGCAGAAATTTCCTTCAGACTGATACAATTGGCATCATACCGAAAAATGGCTAGAGATGGCGTGATAAACAATCAAAGATAGCCATCAAATGGTTATTGTGGGAGGAAAATCAGAGATGTATCAATATTTTACACGCTGGAAAAGAGCAAGAAGCACGTGTACACGGCGTGAAGGTCGATGGTTTTTGTGCCGATACCAATCAAGTTTTCGACTTTCATGGTTGTAGATATCATGGATGCCCACAATGTTACAAATATAAGAGAAGTGAACCATTACCCGACAGCCCCACAGAGTCTCTGAATTTGAGGTATGACCCAATGATAGCGAAGTCTGAAAGATTACGCAACTCTGGCTACGTGGTCATCGAAATGTGGGAATGCGATTTCGAAAGACAATTGACTGATAAAATGAGAAAATTCAGCACAAATCACCCTATTCTCAGAAATATTCCACTCAATGCTAGAGATGCTTTCTTTGGAGGTAGAACTGGCAATACAATTGAGTATTATAAGTGTAAGGATGGAGAGAAAATAGAGTATATCGATGTTTGCTCTTTATATCCATGGGCTTGTAAATATGGAAAATTTCCCATCGGACACCCTATGGTGTACGTGGGAAACGAATGCTCCAACATCGACCTGAAAAATACTAATGGGCTCGTCAAATGTATCATTGTTCCACCACAAAATCTCTACCACCCTGTATTACCTTTAAAAATGAATAACAAGTTGATGTTTGTTTCGTGTCGAACCTGTGGTCAGAATATGAATACTGACGAGTGCACTCATGATGAAGAGGAGAGGGCTCTAACAGGGACATGGGTGATCGATGAGGTGCAGAAAGCTCTAGAAAAAGCATACAAATCACAAGAGATACAGGAGATATGGAGCTACCGTGTTGAGCAATTTGATAAATCCACAAAAATACCAGGGCTCTTCACTGCAATGATGAATACATTCATGAAAATCAAACAGCAGGCTTCGGGTTGGCCTAAAAACTGTATAAGTGAAGCAGATAAAAATAGATATATCGAACAATTCCTCGATAGAGAAGATGTTCAGTTGGAATTCGCTGAGATACTTGAGAATCCTGGACTTCGCTCTCAAGCCAAGTTGATTTTAAACTCATTCTGGGGAAAGTTTGGTCAAAAAGAGAACCAGTCCAAGACGAAAATTGTGAATGAGCCTAGTGAATTCTTTGATATGATGACTAATCCCTCTATTGAAGTTGATAACATATTACCCATCAATGAAAATACAATAATAGTTAGTTTTCGATGCACTGATGAATCATACGATGTATTGGCTACAGTTAACGTCGCTGTAGCGGCATATGTTACCTCCCAGGCTCACCTCAAGTTGTACAACTACCCTGAACTACTAGGTGAGAGGGTCTTGTATTACCATACAGACTCAGTTATATATGTATCGAAAACAGAAGAATTTGATGACATACCAAAAGGAGAATTCATTGGTGATATGACAGACGAACTATAGGGGTATGGCCTAGGATCTTATATAACCAAGTTTGTTTCCGGAGGCCCTAAAAATACGCCTATAAAATCTGGTCGACACGAAATATGCATGAAGAGGTAGTCTGCAAAGTCAAAGGTTAATCTTTAACATACGCTGCATCCCAACTGATTTCGAGAGCATCAAGAACACGATTTTGAGCCCAATTGAACCCATCTTCATAACATCAATAAATATCAGGAGAACCAAGGAACATAAAGTTGTCACACGTGAAGAAACAAAAATATACCGCCCCAACTCTACGAAGCGAAGGTTTTTACCTGATCATAGTTCTATACCATACGGTTTCAAGAAACGATCCAAGTTCGATTAACAATATTATGCTCTTCTTTTTTTTTATCGGTCATGGTTGAATCAATACGGAAGAATGAACTGAAATGTATAAGCTGTCTCTTTTATTGATTACCGTTGTTGATTATGAAATATCTGCATATGCTTTGACTACAATTTCACAGGAGTCAATTATTAGAATGTTCGTCCGACTTATCATTGCTAGATTTGTGGATATCTACTACGTGGCTCGGCATATAGCAGGTATTCAGTTGCACAAAACAGATTCGTTTTATCTATTTCGGTTATTTCAGAATACTCTGATATTTTGTTCACATAACATCATATCAGTAAACAGAGCAAAAATTTCTGAACCTGATGGCACCAAAACCTGGATATTGATGAATTGTTAACATAGCAGAAATTCCATAATCAACGACGATAAATTGAAATGATATTATAAATATTTTTTATTTCATTTCAGTGTTCTCATCATCATATAAGTAATTATATGAAATATAATAATGTCGAATTGGTGATTTCACTTTCTCTCGAACTTCCATTTATCATGATTTTCTTATGAATTTGTATTAAGTATATAAGTTCACCTGTTCATCTCATATTAGCGAAGTGATTGAGAAACAAGTTGATGATCACTCAACAAAAAAAAAAGGAAAAAAAAATCTACCAACTAATTTTGTTCTGTACTTATTGACGAATTCTCATTGCTATTGTTATCTTTTTTCTTCTTAGTGTGGGTCTCGATTTCATCTCATTGTACAAATACTCTGAGAAAGGAGAGACGTATATTGAATTGTATTGTCATCTTCATTGAATATATTGAAATGTTATGTTATACATATAATGATATTCTGAATTGAAAAGCATGTTAAATCACTTGAAAACGAAAAACTGCACTACAATTCTACCAAACCATCTTTTTCTGTACCAACTGAATTTCTTTCTTTGTTATTATCATCACTTTTTACTCTTTTTCTTCTTGCAGTAGATTTTAATTACATCTCATTGTACAAAATGATCGAATCTTTTTTGTTTCACAGCAAGTGATTATCATGATCAATGATGATTGCTATCAGCTAATAATATTGTGTAGTTATCTCTACTCTGTTCAGTGATGACTCATATTACAAAAATTCCTGTAACGAAATGTTCGTTTTCATACATATTATGATTTATCTGTATATTTCATGACTTTTTATTTTGTAAAATGTACGAATAAATGATATTCTTATCATTATTAAACTTTTCAATCGTTCTACAAGTCTTTATTTTATCTCACTTCCTATAGTATATATATTAATAGGTATCCGAATCGTCATAAATCTGCAAACATATATTTCATGAAGGTTATTTCGAAACTAAGTAGTTGTCAGTTCGCCACCAGCTCATCCTTAAGAATCGTGGTATAGAATTTAATATTTTAGAATACATATGTCAGGAGTTAAATGTCGAGAATTTGTAGGATGGTATCACAACTTCATAAAATCTTTCACATTTTGGTATTTTTTTACTTTCTGAACTGAAATAGATTGGATCACATAGGTACATATCATTCTCAGATCACACAAAAAAATTACAGACTCAAAATTATCTCCAAAACTTCCACGTCTACGCAGTTGGGAACAATAGATCTAAATTATTTCTGGTTCTCATAATTGCTGTTAGCAACAAACTAGGAATGACATTCATCTTCAATTTTTATAATGATTTTGAATATTGTTCTAAAAAAACTTCTCAGATATCATAACATAACCTATAATCCAAGATTATTGGCATTTGCTTCCAAAGTGCGTTTTTTTGATATTGATGTCACTTGTCATTCTAACGCTACCGAAAGAATCACCAAAAAAACGCAACTATAGTATAATATAATATATAAGATGACTGTTCCTAATTACTTACAATTAGGCAAATGTCATAACGTAGATATTTTTTCAACCCCATTTCTTATATTTTTCTAGGTGGATGTACGAGTCACAATAATGGATATTAGAAAATATTTATCCAAAATTACTGAAAGTAGCTCGAATTCTGAAATGGATCCCATTATCAAGAAGTTGAAGCTAGACCACACAAATAAAACTGAACCAATATTTTCAAGTTCAGCTGGAAATCCAACTAATCCTCGAATAGAGTTGAAGCTAGATGATGTTACCAGCGAACCGATACCTTCTTGTTCAACTACCGATAACGATTTGGATTTGGGACAATATATTATGTCTTCTGCAAATATATCGGATGGAATGCGATATAAATTTCTCGAACATCCTTTCAAACCAGGATCAGATTACAATTTCAAAAATGATGCTGTTATGGAAACAAGATATTTCAAATATGATTGGTTAGCTGAATATAACTGGCTTGTATATTCAAAGAAGTTGAAAGGAGTTCTGTGCAAGAACTGTGTGGTATTTCGTCCAGTTTTGAGAAGAGGTGTAATGGGTTCTTTTATCATTAAAGAATTCACCAAATACAAAGATTGTCATGCACAAGCCAAAGCTCATATGGGCTCAGAATGGCATAGAGACTCTAGTATAAGGGCCAAAGAATTTTTAGACAGATATTCTGGCAAAACCAAATCAGTCTGTGAAATAATTGATTCCCATATGAGTTCAACAATAGAAAATAACAGAAAACTACTGAAACCAATAATCTCCTCTATGATTTTCTGTGCTACTCATGATATGGTTGTTCGAGGAAAACATTCAGAGGGGGGCAATTTCAAAGATCTTTTGAAATTCAGGGTTGAGAGCGGTGACCTCGGACTATCTGAACATTCACTAACATGCAAAAAAAATGCTAAATATACATCTCATCAAGCGCAAAATGAATTGATTGAGATATGTGGAAACATTGTTAGAAAAAACATTGTAGAGGTAGTGAACAGGAGCGAAGGATTCTCGTTATTAGCAGATGAATCTGCCGATATATCTGGAAAAGAGCAATTATCTGTTGGAGTGAAGTTCGTAGATGCTTTGAATAACATTAAAGATGAGTTTACTGAGCTATTACGTATGGACGCAAAAACCATTGCAGAAACAATTCTTTCTACCGTGGATGATTATGGATTGAATTTGCATAAATTGATGGGGCTAGGATTTGATGGGTGTCTAACAATGGCGGGAAAAGAAAATGGAGTTCAAAAACTAATTAGAGATCGATATTCAAAGGTAACATTCTTTCACTGTTCTTCACATCGACTGAATTTGGTGATAAATGATTTGAATTCTGTGAGCGAGATTCGAAACTGTGTTGGTGTTATAAAAGAGATCATCAATTTTTTTCGAGATAGTCCACGCCGCCGATCTCTAGTTCCCAATATCCCTTTGTTTTCTGAAACTAGATGGACCGCCAAATATGAATCGATACGTTTATTTTTCGGACATTTTGTTGGAATTAAATCAGTGTTAGATGATTTGACTACAAACAGAGATTTCAACCAAGCTGAGCAACTCTCTTGTTCGTCATCTACTCCAAAGTTTATCATTTGTCTGAACCTAATTTCTAAATACTCAGCCCAGTTGGAGCCAGTTACCAAAATCTTGCAGGGAAAATCTGTAAATTTGTTAGATGTTCAAAAACACCTAGAAAATTTGTTGCAGATATTCGAAAATAATAGGAAAGATGGAAATGAATGTTTTGGGAGTATTTTCACAAAATCTATGGAAATTGCTAATGAATTTGGAATAGAAATACAGCAACCTCGCATAGCAAAACGCCAGATCAATAGAACAAATATTGAGACGGCTTCTGCAGAAGATTACTTCAGAATCTCTCTTTTCATTCCATATATGGACTCCCTGATATCTTCCCTGAAAATCCGGTTCTCTGAAGATACGCGAACAGCCTTCTCAATATCATGTTAACACCCCAAAAATCTGAAAAAGAACAATGACATAGGCCTCATAATGAAAAATATTGGTAAAACCTACGATATTGAAAATTTTGAAGAAGAATCATCGACTTGGATCCAATACTGGAGACAGAATACTCAGAATAGCAATAGTGATGATGATGATATGGAATTCCAGGAACTATTGAAGGAATGTGAATTTTTTCCAGCTATATCTCAGGCCATTAAAATTTTTTTATCAATGCCTCCCACTACCTGTACCATCGAAAGATCTTTTAGTACACTGAGAAGGGTAAAAACATGGCTGAGATCTACCATTGGAGAATCGAGGCTAACGAGATTATGCCTTCTGAGTGTCCACAGAGAAACTGACGAAAATAAAAAGTTTCAAATTACTGGAGAAGCAATCAATATATTCGGCAAAATGATAGAAGAAGACTGCAAATTCTATTTTCAGAATGAAAACTGAAAGTTTGTGAAATCATGGTTTCTATGTTCCTTTTTCCTAATCCAAATGTGATTTTCAATTGTTATTTGTTTACGTTGTTTTATAATTTCAAGAATGTTATTTTAATTTTATGTACATACAAATATGGTTCACGACTGTTTTCAATATTTTGTCCTATCCGCCCCGCCCCCCCTGATTTTTTTCCTGGCGGCGCCCATGACTTCATTTCAGTAATATACCACCAAAATAGAAAAAATGATTAATGATTGAGTTAAAACATGAGGCATATTCATAAAACTATGCACAAGTTTGAGGAATTCAAAACTGGACGAATAGGAGGAAGCTTTATAATGAACTGAGCTGAGGACAGGTAGGGATTGATCATATTTTATTAGTGAAAACCAATTTTATTTCACCCTTTGGTAAATTTTCAGATTCCCAGTTTGAAATGCTCGAATATACAGTGACCTTTATGTTTGTACCTATATCATATTTATAATAAGTATCAATGAGATGTAAGGACACGAGTAGTCGACTCGTGTGAAGATAGCGCCTAAGCCCAGCGCCCACCCCCCACCACAAAGTCCAGTTCACACAGCACCTTACGAATCTACTGGTCGGATTTGAATTTTCCAAATCATCGGCTCCATAGAAGAAATACCCCCACTACTCGTACTATAAATAATGATTTTCTCCTAGTAGGAGAGTTGTCACGGATTTTGACATATCGGAAAATATCAATCTATTTGGGGACAATCTACTGCTCGAATTTGGATTTTCCAAATCATCGGCTTCATAGAAAAAATACCCCCACTACTCGCACTTTGAATAATTATTTTTTTCTTAAAAGGAAAGTTGTCACGGATTTTCATATATCGAAAATGTCAATCTATTTGGGGAAAATCAACTGCTCGAATTTGAATTTTCCAAATCATCAGCTTCATAGAAAAAATACCCCCACTACTCGCACTATAATTAATTATTTTCTCTTAGGAAGAAAGTTGTCACGGATTTTGATATATCGGAAAATGTCAATCTATTCGGGGATAATCAACTGCTCGAATTGAATTTTCCAAATCATCGGCTTCATAGAAAAAATATTCCCACTACTCGCCCTATGAATAATTATTTTCTCTTCGAATGAAAGTTGTCACGATTTTGATATATCGGAAAATGTCAATCTATTTGGGGACAATCTACTGCTCGAATTTGAATTTTCCAAATCATCAGCATCATAGAAAAATACCCATACTACTCGCACTATAAATAATTATTTTCTCTTAGAATGAAAGTGTCACGAATTTTGATATATCGGGAAATGTCAATCTATGTGGGGAAAATCAACTGCTGGAATTTGAATTTTCCAAATCATCGGCTTCATAGAAAAAATACCCCCACTACTCGCACTATGATTGATTATTTTCTCTTAGAAGGGAAGTTGTCACGGATTTTGATATATCGGAAAATGTAAATCTATTTGGGGACGATCAACTGCTCGAATTTGAATTTTCCAAATCATCGGCTTTATAGAAAAAATGCCCCCACCAATCGCACTATAATTAATTATTTCCTCTTAGAATGAAAGTTTCAACGGATTTTGATATATCGGAAAAATTCAATCTATTTGGGGACAGTCTACTGCTCGAATTTGAATTTTCCAAATCGTCGGCTTCATAGAAGAAATACCCAGTCCACAAGAATTTATGAAAAAACACAAAAGTCAAGTGCTGCTCATGGGGGCTAGGGAAAAATCGAAAATACTTTTCATCGTGTATTTTCATGAGATAAGTAGAAAACCCATTTCGCAATATTTTATGAGAAAATACAAGAATGAGATGCTGCCCAGGGGGGCTAGGAAGAAATTTTAAAAACTTGTCATCGTGTATCTTCATGAGATATGTCGATTTTTGTGAAAATATAGATTATTTATTTGACTACAAAAATAATGAGTCTGCAAGATTCCATGAAATAACACACGAGTAAAGTGCTGCTCAAGGGGGCTAGGAAAAAATCTGAAAAACTTTTCATCGTGTATTTCCATGAGATAAGTCGATTTATGTTAAAATTGAGATTATTTGACCTGCTAAAATGCCCAGTACCCAAGGTTTTCATACGAGTAAAGTGCCTATCAGGGGGGCTCAAGAAGAAAATTGAAAACCCCTTCTTGTGTATTCTGGTGAGGTGGATCCAGATATGCAATAAAAACAATAATGTCTGCTGGAAATAACCAATTTGAAACATTGTATTCCAGACCGCATATTATAGTTGCACCACCCTTCGTTAGCTATATGCGCCTCATCCTAACTGCTGCCAATGCATCTGCAAAATTTGCTGTTCCTTGTGCACATATTTTATTATACCCACTCAAAAGCATTCAGTCATCCATTGGTGCGTGCATTTTATCCAACATGATAGATTGTTCCCATTTTTTTGTTAATGCATGAGTACATGAGTTTAATTTCTTCTTAATAATTAGTCATTAATCAGGGAGGTACCGACTTCTTTCGAGAGTTGCCGCTATAGCTGCTTGTAGGGCGATTAATGCAACTAAATACTATTGTTAGATATCGAGACTATCGTTTTTTTTTTGGAAATTTTAGGATAGGTTATACTCTCCTAATCATCTCCTATACTATTTTCAGTATATCATCTTCATTAGACAAATTCGAGATGTTTTCTCCTCCTGATATTTCAATAATCGAAAAATGACAGACATCAAGATAAAAAATCTTGTTATATCAATAAAATCTTCAAAAGTGGACATCACATATGAACAGTTACGTCATCCCGAATACGATGATGAGTTGTATGATAGGCTAGTCGAAAATATCCGAGATAAAAAAAAAGAAAGATAAGAAGTTGTGGATTTATCGGACAATCCAACGAAATTCAGGAGCGGTTGATTCCTATTTTTCACATAAAAAAATTCAAATATCATCAGACGAAGATCTATTTAGTGACGATATGAAATGTATAGATTCGAAAGATTCAGTTTTGAAACCTGATGAAGATTTGGAATCCATCGATTTCAAGACTAACAATAATATGCATTCAAGTGATTCGGTATCGGAAACATGTGATGATATGGGATTGGAATCGAAAACTGTGAATAAAGAACCTTTGGGAGATGAAGATTCGGGGGCTTTCCATATATTTTCCAAATCAATTGTAGCGAACAGTTCAGAAAATATTAAGATCGATGAAATTATTGAATTTGATGATTCGGCCATTTCTGATAGGAAACATTCCGTTAGTGTAAAGGATCGATTCTTGCATGACATTAGTGATGATTCCGAATATAATGAAATGAATAACATTTCATCAGATTTACAAAAAAATATTTTATCTTTTTCCACAAAAAATAGTTTGACAAATTCATCGCTTTCTCTGCCGAATTTAGATATCACTGTACCTGAGAAATCAAATCTCGTACTTCCGAAAGGACACACAAATAATGAAGGAAAATTTGATATCTCGCCACAGCAATGGGGGGAGATTGTTTCTGATGGGGGCCAACTATTAAATAGATTGTATCCATCTTTCTTTAGAAACCGAATAAAAAAATATGTCAATAATACTTGCACTATTGCTTTCTATAGAATCAGATATTTCAAATCCTCCATTATAATTATGGCGTACTGCAAAAATAATTATCTCCAAAGTAAAAATTTTAAAATTGAAATATGCACCAATGAAGTGGGTGGTAAAACGGCGAAGGTATTTAGCAGCTCTTCAGATTTTTGTCACCCATATAAACTCACAGATCATGTGAGTGGCATAGAGAGAGATTTTGTAAAAAGTTGGCTAAAAAAAAATCAGAACAACAGAGTACCGCGAAAAGACTATAGCAAATGCCAATAAGGAAGCCATATTGAATGGTCATGTACAGGACATCGAATCCGAAGCTGTTTTGAGAAAGATTCGAAGTGAAAATAGGAATGCTTTGAAACGGCACAAGAATATAATGATGGATGCCATTTTGTTTAAAAAAAAAACATTCAAGTTTCGTCCAGCAGGTCAGTTCATCCCTCAACATCAAAATATTCAGCTTAGAACAACTGAAAATAGCCAAATCTTCTGGCATAGGCGTATTTCATTTTGACGCTACTGGTACAGTGGTCCAACAAGAAACGGACAAAAAAGTTTTATATCATTGTGGGGTGATGTACAGTGGTCCAACAAGAAACGGACAAAAAAGTTTTATATCATTGTGGGGTGATGAGTTTTCCAGAACGAAGCCTTTGTCCTTTAGTAGAAATGGTATCCTCTGAATACGACACTTATGCAATTTTTGAACTATTTATCAGATTCAGAAAGTTTTGCAAGGAACAGAGAGAATGGTTATCATCTAAGGTATTCATCAGTGATTTCAGTTTTGCTAATTTGAACGCTGCTTCGAAAGCATTCAACAAATTAGTGCTGAACGAATACCTCATTTCATGTTATGTTCACTTCGTGCGAAAGAAAATTTTACCGTCCCACATCATAAGGATATTTATGTGTTGGGTCCATTTCGTTAAGAATTTGTTTTTGTTGGTAGACAAACACACTAATGAGAATAACAA